CATCCATGCTAGAAATTATTTTGGTGCTGGACTACGTATGGGCTACAGCATCATAAACTGAGGTTCTACATGCATCTACCATTGATATCTTGCCAGTTTCAGTAACTACAGAGATCCTATTTCTGCAAATGTGGTGTGAGGTATGTTTCTTGTGAAAATGGTGTTATGGAGTTGGGCAAGGTGTCTTTTGGGAGGTCTTATTATATGCAGCCATCAATGCGCTTCACTTTCTCGGGTTGCAGGGTGACTCTTCCCCTTCATCCACATCTTCTCTCTTGTGTTAATTTGTTTGTGGTAGCAGCATGTCTCCTGATTTCTCCATGGACAGTCACACATAGGCTCACACTCTCTTGTGGATCCTACAGTAGAGATGGGGGAGCCTCGCTTCAGTTAGCAGGTGTTAACCTAGTGAGCTGTGAGTGTGCGTTGTTCAGTCCACAGGAAGCTTTGCAGAAGCTAAAAAAGTAAATTTTTAGTTTCTATGATTTCAGGGGCTTGGTTGTTTCTTTCATATTTTTTGACTCAATTACCCTTAATGCATCTGGTCTAAGGGGCTGTAGGATGGTCACTGAAGATAGCATTTATTGTGTTCTTGAGATCTTTTTTCTCTCCGAACTTTTCATGAAAACATCTTAATTGGTGTGTTGCTGTGAATAAATTAATTAACTCTTTATATTAAGCTGTTACCATTGCTTTTAGCACTCTTCCCCATCTAATCTTGACACGTCATTGTCTTTTAGTCCACACCCAGTGAAGCCATTGACACCTCCTGACGAGAAAAGGTCAGAGGGTCGCTCAGTACTAGAGAAGCTTAAATCCACCATCCACTCAGGACGAACAGGCCAGGATGCTGACAAGAAGGTACTGAATGAGTATAAAGCGGTCCACTTTGTAGATAAATCTGAGTAAACCGATCGCATTTAATTAATTGACACTGATGAACCTAAAAACATTTAGTCAGCTTTCACTCGTCATGCACTTGATCTCCTTATTGGCTTCTAAATACAGTGCTATTACAACTGTTTTCCTACTCTGATCATTATTAAAAATAATATTATTGCAATATTTATCTAAAAAATATTAGATATAATTTTCCCACATTTACACTACAGTTCAAAAATATAATTTTTATATTTTTGTAAGATGTCTCTTATGCTTACCAAAGCTGCATTTATTTGATAAAAAACAGTAGTAATTAGAAATATGGTTTCCTTTTTTAAATAACAGTTTTCTATTTTAATACATTTTAAAATGTCATTTAATACTTTGATGGCAAAGCTGAATTTTCAGCTTCATTATTCCAGTCTTCAGTGTCACATGATCTTTCAGAAATCATTCTAATATGCTGATTTGGTGCATTTCTTATCAATGTTGAAAACAGTTGTGCTGATTAATATATTTGTAGAAACGGTTATATTTTTGTAGAAATGTATTATGCTCAGACATTATATTTTTTACTTTAACATTTAAATGAAAGCTTAGTAAATTAATTAGCTAAAATTAACATATTTAAATATTAATCAAATTAAATGTGCATCTACTGATTCAGTTACTACTTACAATAATTCTTTCATTAACATGATCACAAATCAAATATAATCCAGAAGTGATTTTTTTTTAATCAACAAATATTTAGTGTAATGTAAATCTTTTTTCTTGTTTTTCTTGTTTTAGCCACTAGTGGAGGGAGGAGGCTCGTACTATCACCTGAACCACAGCGAACTGGTGAATTTGCTGATCCAGCGGGATACTGAGCTCAGGCAGGAGCGGGAGGCATATGAGAAGCGAGGGGCACTGCTGGAGAAGCGCGAGACAGAGCTAAAGAAGATGAAGTTTATGATCAAAGATCTAGAGGATTACATCGACACGCTTCTTGTACGCATCATGGAGCAGACCCCCACGCTGCTGCAGGTCCGCCCCAAGATGAAATGATACAACAAACGCCTCCACTATCCCTCAACAAATCCTAGGTGGATGTCACAACCCTGCACTGCTACAGCAACCATATAAATGTAGAGAGCTATCTGGCGCTAGGTGATGGGTCTGGAGGAGAAGGTATAGATTTGGTGTTCTTAACTGTGTCCAAAAATACCCGGGCCTCTACTCGGGTCCGTATGCACTGCAGGTTTGCATTGATGGTTAAAGGTCGGCACTCTGCTGCTAAACTTTAAAGCTGGTAAGATCCATTTTGATGTGTCAGCTGTTATTCACTTACTAGACATGTCACTAAGACACATGCCAGTCCAGCTATGTACCAAAACCACCTGTCAATCGAAAGGAAGGCATGACTGTGACATGCCAGTCTTCTAGTGCTAGTGTGAATGGTTTTTAAAGCACGAAATAAAACATCGATTTATCTTTTGTTTGTTCTATTACGTTTTAACATGTAATGTTCAGCTGCTGGAACAGAGAACAAAAGAACGATTTTGAGATCACTTGAAAGTGTGCGAGGTGGAGCTTGAGTCGTAGAAAGCAGGAAAGAGGACAGAATCAGCCAGTTTCGAATCGGCTTGTGCCTCCCTACATGTCTTCCGCACTTTACTTAAGAGCTTAAGGGTAGAGGCTCACACCAACTGACCTTCTAGCTTCGGTTTGTAGGTCAGTGTCCTTCCTCTCCCTTCCTTTGCTTGAGCCAATGCACATACATCGCTGCCAGTGCTTTCAGGTGTAATGAATGGGATATATACTGTATTCATTGCATATATGCCACTCTGACAAAATGCCAAATGCTGCCTTATCATACAGTATTTTCTCCATTCTGTTCTTGCTGAACTCCCCACTTTTAATTAGATTGCACATTATATTACAAAACTAATGGCGGAGGAGTGTTTCAAGTTAAACTTTCCCAAGACTGTTAGGTATCGAAATGAACAAATGGATCTGAATAGAGAACGAGAGCCATGAAAACAGCAAATACCAGAATTGATTTGCTCTAAATTAACGTTACAGCATTCTCAATACCGCAACGGCTCTGTTAATGTTACTGTAATGTAATTCTGGTGTTTCTATGATGTCGCCACTATCAGTGTTGCCACTGTCTGTGTACAATGTAGCACTATATGTAGATGTGTGATAGAGGCGTAGGCCGCAGCACTTTCAAACCTCACACCGAGGCATTTACAACAGTTCTTTCTCAACAGCTTAGGAAGTGCACGTAGTCAAACACACATGTTCACTGCACAGACTGATCATCCTCTAAACACAGGATATTCATGTTGTTTCAGTGCTAGTCCCTGCTAGAAAGCTCAAGATCTATCAATAACATATTTCTGTGAGTAGAAGCACTTAAGGACTCGTGTGCACCTGAAGGTTTGTCTATCAGACATTTGTAGGTGGATTAATGAATGTTCATTTATTAAGGCTTAACGTAAAAGTTTACAGTTTTTCAAGAATGTTACATTTTAATCATGCAAATATCTCTATATATATTTTTTATTATATTTTGCTTTGTGGCCAGGTCTTTTGTCACCTTTTCTTTTGGGTGGTCTGAAGGTCTGTACAATCCGTTCATTTTTCGTCTCTCATTTCCTTTAAATGCTGTTTGTGTACATTGTGATTTCTTAAGGTCAGTAGTAATAGAAAGCAATAGATGTGAAGGCCAGGCTTTTGCAGAATTTAAGAGATTAATACTTTTCTAGGTCTAAACAGATGGAATGTAATATGAAATATTTGCTTAGGATGCCACTGTTGAACAGCAGTTTATATAAATATTAACCAACACACACACAGCCTGCAGCCTAGTAAGAAGATGTGTTCAAGTGCCCTTGGCTGAATGTTATCATGAGATGTCATGAGATGTGTGTGTAGAAGAAGATTTGTATGCTTTTAATGATGAAGATGATAATCAAAGCTACATTTTTATGTAGTACAAACTCTGGAACTTGCAAATAAAAACTTGTGTTTACTATATTTCGTTTTATTTTTAGAGGTCTGGAATGTCGTATTTTTTTCTTTCTTTTAAGGTCATTTAAAACCTAAATATTTTTTTAAAGAATTGCAAAGGGTTTATTTTAAAGTTGAAGGAATGCATCAGTAAGCAGCTTGATGCCTGAATCCTCATTCTTAAGACTATAATAGGCTCAATTTTTCCTCCTTTAGTGTAAATTTCAGTGGATTCCTGTCACAGTCAAGATAAGAATGGCTTAAATTAACCTCACGTATCAAGTAGCATTTAAGCACCGAACATTATGAGTATGTTCAGTGGAACCATTTGTTTTAGATGCAAAATATTTGAAGTGCTTCCCCGAGGTGCTGTTTGAGTGGATGTTCAGGGTGTAGTTACATGAGTGTCCACTGGAGGTTGTGAAGTATTTTTATCAAATGCCTCACCTGAGAGGTGTTCAAGTGACTTTTGGCGTGCTCTTAAGCATCTCTGCTAAGAAAAGGTCTCCGTTGATGAAATAAACTTTTCACTTTGGGATGCATCTCTGACTGTCCTTATTTGACGTGAAGACAAAGCTCTCATGGGTCTCAAAATTAAACCACTATTTCAACACTAGTATATGGAGCACTAAATGTAATTCAAACTAAACCCAAATTACATTTGCCTCAGTAATTAGATGACATATTTAGCTTTCAGTCACACCATTAGTCAAACAAATATGCTAAAAAGATTTAGATTTGCTCACACTGAATTAGGTCCTGATATTTTTAGAGGATACTGATAGGAGAACATAATTTTCAACAAAATTAATATTGCACAGCATGTAGACAAGCTACTTGAAGAATGACTATCTTGGGTAAATATATTATAGATACAAATTGTATCCATTCTATGATCAAATCACACACCCTGTACAGTAACAAGGTCATAACAATGACTAAACTGAACCACATGATATAGTTAAAGCGGCTGAAATTCCCTAATTTATTAATGAAAGAAAAACAACGATTCACTGACGTTCATGGCAAATTTTTAAACTACTGTTAAACGTAATTCAGCACACATATCCTTTGCCCTGTTAGAAAACGACATTACCCAAAATGCATCGATACGGATGACTCGACCACACTCACTGAGGGACCTCTACGCAACTTTGAGATCTCAGTAAAACTGCTTTATTGACTGCACTGTGCATCTGGGAAGCACCTGCCATGCCTGCATCGACTGAGTACCCTCCGTTTAGACTCGGCGAGTCTCGGTTTGATCAGGTAAACAACAGCCGGACACAGAATGTGAGACTTGCGTTTTTGCATCTGGCTGATTTCTTAAGGCTCACTGCAGACGGGTTTGGAGAAAGAGTGTTTCAACGGAATTGTTTGAGAAGAAGTCGCCTTTTGCAGCTCAAAAGAGCTGTTTATTTCCAAACCAAACAGTTCACTGCAGTGTTTGCTTCTTCCGCCCTCACTCCTTGTTTAAGTCGCATGAACAGTGACCTCTGTTGGTGATATCATTTTTGGAAAATGAGATGAGGGTTAATGTTGTTGCTTAGAATAGGTCAAACACATTTTTAGATTATCGGCAGAAATACTGTAGTATAGCCTCAAATAGTGAGTCAGCATTTTAAATGAATGTGTTCAAATTGTCCCAAAAAGTCATAATCTAATATATATATACAGTAGTCAACATTTGAAGTGGATCAAAAAAGTGAATCAAAGTTGTCCTAAGACAAGAACGCATTTAAGTTTTTAGGACAACTTTGATGAAGGTTTTGATCCACTTCAAATGTTGACTACTGTATGTATGTATATATACATATATTAGATTATGACGTTTACCAGTAGGTATATATATCTTACTTGTATGTGAAAATAACATTAGTGACCTTTTGAGAACCTTTTTTGACATTCTTTAGGGGTTAAATTACTGACCCCTGTAATTAGCACCCCTCAGTTATTTTCGAGCTTCAGAATCAAGGATGAAGAGATAAAACGTTGTTAAAAACTATTTTGTGCCAAAGCTAGTTCATTAACAACACTATTCTCTATCAACCCCCTGAGACCCTGCATCCTCATAAGAGGACATTATATTTGAGTGAATTTCTCTGAGACTATACATGCCACAGTTTTAAGTCGGGATGTCCTGTACAGAGCACATTCAGGGCTTTTCAGAGATACTAAATGTTTGGATGTTTCACCGTGACCACTCCCCCCTCTCCTTGGTCTTCAAAAATGTCTGATTTTAATTTAGTGACACTCTTATGGAAATATGATCATATTTAGTAAGTCTGACTCATTTTTAAATTGTGTGTCATAAATCAACATTGCAGGAAAATGTTATGGGGTTTCAAATCAAAATATGACTTTCTGTTACAAAACAGGACATTGATTTCATACATATCCTCATATGAGGACACCGGGATTAAAAGCATGTTTATTACGACACAACAAATGAATAGGTAAATAAATTATATTTCAATATTCCTATGAAGTATTATACATGATTATGAAAATCTTGTCAATTATTACTCCCGTTATTACACTTCTTTTTTCATTACATGTTACCCCAAAAACACATTAATATGCAAATTAGATTTAGTTTATAGATACATTATATATAATGAGAAAACCTGTTTATGGCCATTTTACAGACATTTTGCATGAAGAAAAATTGTATATCAAATCGTTCTGTTATAACATAGTTGAGAATTATCTTTATACAAAGTTTGGTAAAAAAAAAAATCCTGAAAACTTAAAATGTATTGGTGATTAAAAAAATAAATAAAATAGTTTTTGCCTATGCATGTTTAAAGAAATTGAGTCCCAATGTCCTCTTCCAAGGACGTAGCATAACTTATTAATGAAATATCATTTTTAATTTTATTTATTTAAAAAAAAAATGTAATGCTCTAAACAGTGTATTGACATGAATTTTTTTTTTTTTAAAATCCTATAATGGTTTGCCTAGTCTTAAGAGGTTAAAACATGTAGAAACTGGAACATTCACTGCGAGAAAAAAAAAAAAGAAACCATTTTGTACGCATTAGCGACTCAATAACTTTAACCTCAAAGGAAGAGCTACTTTATTTATTCATTCATTTATTTATTTAATACAGATGATTCCCATCTGCTGTTATTACTCCAGCGGTTCTTCATATGTGTAAAGGACCGTCTGTTACGACGTGATAAACAGAGAATATGTAGCGTGCTGCTTTAGGATCTTGCATTCCTCCTTGCACACACACATTCAAACATTTTAATTGAGTTGGTAGAACTTTTTAGGTCTACAGATCAGCCAGCAGACAGTTGGTGTACGCGCATAATGAGGCGGACACACCTGGCGCGTGAAAACAACTGGTTTGGCCCTGGTGTCAGAGTCTGTATCAGCAGCTGACTCCCGCATCTGGAGAAAGTTTCTGGAACCTCAGAAATCATTTGGCGAATAATTGAAGGGAATTGTGAACATTTGATTAATAATCATGTTTATTAATCACGGAACTGAACTATTCTTGTTCCACACAGACCTGACCTTCAAGACAAGAAGTAGGCCTGACTATTTGTGGAATTCATGGGATTCTTTAGGGGGAAATCATCATTTGCACAGACACAAATAAATAAATAAAGTGACAAGCATAAAATTAACCAACAAACATGGGTAGGTATAGATACAAATCAACTGAGACAAGTATAATCTTTTGTCATTGTTGTTTTAAAATATGATGCCGAATGACTTAACCACACAATGCCATGTTAAACAGTTAAAGATCTCCAATACACTAGATAAAAAGAGTAGAAAAAGAAGACATTAAATACAAAATTAAATGTCTCAGTTCACTTCTTGTCCCACTTAATCTGGGTTTACTTCCATTGTGTTTTTAAACTAAAACAATGAACCTTCTCCACAAACCAGGTGCTAGATGTTTAACTTTTGAACTATATCAGATGAATAAATGATATTATCTATAGAATTAAGTTGGAATTAATATCCTCCAGGCAAGTACCTCTGCTGGTGATCTCACTTCCTTTGCTGCTTCCTCTCAATTTGTTACACCTTTAATACACAATATTCAAACATTTAATTCAGATTAATTGTACAAATTAGCCACAAATTCGCCAAATCATACAATATTATGCAAGGCTGTGAGAGTATTGTTTAATTCCCTATATGAATATGCAGTGCATTTTATTGTTCTATTTCTCAATGTTACTTTCAGGGTTCATTTTATGGCAGATTAAGACACTTCCTGGATGTGATCGACCCTCGCACGCTCTTTGTTTCAGAGGTAAGCAAGAGTCTTCTGAAATGTAAACCTCAAATGATTTGATAGTTTGTATGTGAATGCTGTTTTCTATGTGTGTTTTTTTTTAGAAACGTTTAAATGAATGTATGAATCTCTTGGATCAGTTCAAAAATGGATCTCTGCCTCCAGGTGTGACTAATGTGCAGGTAGGTTTGGGGCCCATTAAAAGTTCATTTGTGTCATGTTTGCTACACTTTTTTGCAGTAATGCCATAGGGAGAACACATTTTGGTTTGAAGACCATTTTAATAATATAAAAAACCTTTTTCCATTATAAAAACCTGTTGTGGAATGGATACCATAGATATATTAGATAAATAGATTCCATTGTTGTTAAAGGTTCTTCATGGAACCACATATGTCAATAAAGAGCCATTTTTAAGAGTGTATATAGCTAATGGGTATGTGAGCAGAGGAACAAACATCAGCCACTCAAATTTCAATCAAAATTCACATGTGTTGTCTAAAGAACTTCAGTTTTCTTGGTAACTTTAGTTACACAACAAAAGCAAAGTGAGGATGGAATACTTGTAAACATTTCTCTCTTTTGCATCTTTCTCTGTTTTTCACAATAGCTTTGGGAGGCACAGAAGATTAAACAGGTGAGTGTGAACAGCGTTGAAAGCCTTTTACAGGTTGCTATGATGAAAGAACCTGCTCAAATCCCTCAACATCTACGTGCGCAGTGTGACACACTCACAAGCGGTAGTTCTGTATATTGGTGTAATGAGAGGAGAATTACAGCTAACCTCAGCATGGTAATTCTCCCATCCGCTCGCTCTCACCTCTTATTCTCTCTCATTTCCTCCTCTTCATCCTGTCTGCTGTCTGTGGATTCATTATGTCCTCAGGCCATCATCCATCCAGACACAGGAGAGAAGATCCCCATGCCCTTTCGCATGTCAGGTAAGGGTGTGAGTGTGTTTTCGGTGTGTGTGTGTGTGTGTGTGTGTCTGTGTCATGGGTGGTAGGCAGTTTTCTGCTTGTTACCAGCTCTGGAGACTGGAGTTTGGTGGTAGGGGGTCTCTCTGGACCGATCTGTTGGCAAAGGTCACACTCAGCTGGGCTCTGATTAAACCCTCTCCCTCCTGCTGTCTGGAAGTGTTGTTGGGCCACTCAGAAATAGGAGTATTTTAGTCTTCTGTTAACACCACTATTTAAAGAGAGAACAGTAAGGGAGAGGCCTGCCTGACAATCATGATGGCTACCTCTGAACCATTCTATCTTGTATGAGTAATGAGGATTTTATTAATGTGTTAAAGGTCAGTAATAAAGTCATAATGTCATATGAGCGTCTATAATCCTGATCGTTAAACCAAACATGACATGAAATGTACTTCTGTGGCCTGATCCAGCCTATTCAAATGTTAAAATTACAGTCTTAGTGTGACTCCATTATTGGATCAAGAGTTCATTTTCTTCTGAAATCATCTCCTTCATTTTCTTTGTGTTGGCACACGTTTCTCCTTTTCTTTTCAGGTTTTGTGCCCTTTGGTACTCCAGTGGTAGGTCATTGTGAAAAGATATTCAACTTATCCTTCTTTTCCAGGCCACCAAATGTAAACTTCAAATCACTTCTTGTAAATTACTCCTCCATTTATAGGTTGTGGGCCTCCTTTTACCCAATCAGACATTTGCTTCCACCATCTTCTGGCAGGTATGTGTTTTTCTGGTCTTTACAGATAAAATATCAGTCTAAGCTCTGTTTTCTATGAACTCAGTCTCACTGTCTTTCTCACAGTGGCTGAACCAGAGCCACAACGCCTGTGTCAACTACTGCAACCGTAATGCAACTAAGGTGTGGTGTATAAGCAATGTAATTTTGACCAGTACATATGGTGATGGCATGGCATATTTTATGTTCACATATAATGTCAAATTATCATTAAAAAGTAATGAAAAAGAAAAATAGAGCCTTGCAGGGATGATGCCGTTTTGTAGGCCAACACAGAAGTTAACATGACCCTGGTTCCCTCGACAAAAACCCAAGAGAATTTTTCCACTGGCTTTTACATTTTGCAGAAAATATGCTCTGATCAACAAAAGATTATTTAATGGTGACTAATACTTTTTTATAAAATAAGACCTTATTGTAAAGTGCATGCATTATAATGAATAAGACTGCACTTATAATGCATTATATAAAAGGCATCATAGAAAGTGTTACTAAATATGTCATATGAATTCATTTTATTAAATTATTATTTTATTTGTTTATGTTTTCAGCCCATGCCAATGTCAAAGTTTTTCCAGGGTTACCTTGGTGCAGTCAGCAGTGCCGTTACTATTGCGGTGAGTTCACATGCATACACAAAACTGTATTATGTAATTTGATGTGTAGAAAGAATTCTCTTTTAATCATTACATTTTGAATTGCCATTTAACCCTAACAGAGAAAAATATTATTCATGACTTTTCTAGTATTCTATGAATTTAAATGTAATAAGCGAACTGATGGAGGCTGATAGCATCAAATGAGAGCTCTTTGCTGTATTTCACATTGCTGAATTGCATATCCTTCTAGTCACGCCCCCTGTGTCCTCTAGAGCCAATTAGCTGCCCTGCTGGGTGGCAGTTTGATGCCCAGGGGCATGACAAGCAGAACCATGGTGACGACAACTACAAATGGCCCCATGCCTGTGAGAAATATGGGAGGGGGGCACTAATTAAAACTACAATCCCTCTGAAGACCCCTGCTGGGAAGGGAAGGGATGTGAATGGGTTTGCTTCTCAGATGTTTGTTAGATGGGCCTTTAACTGGAGCTCATAGAGTTGACCAGAGGCTCACAAGGCAAGACGAGAAACAACTTAACATAGCCTGTCATGACCTGTCATGAAGCCCACTGGGAGTTATGTGTTTTTAAGGTCACTATGAAAACAAATGTGTATTGTCACCATTACATTTTTGACTTCATGGGTTATATTTATTAGATCAGTTTAATATTTCATTTTCACTAGGTTAGCGATCGGATTTCAACTGAGATGAATTTCAGGACAGATCTTATAAACATGGAACTGTCATGCTCTATGATTATGTGAGATGTCACTCTATAAATAAAGGACAGATAGGCGTAATATAAAGTCAGAGCTGTGGCACAGTTGGTAATGCGAGTGCTCCATACATGTAAATCTATTGCAATATTTTAATATATTTTAAAATAGAAAAAAATATATGAATTTCTTTGAAAGAACAACTATTATTGACATCAAACTTTTGAACAGTGTGTGTGTGTGTGTGTATAAATGTTTATTTAAAAACATTTATTTTATTTTAAATAAATAATGAAATTAATGTAATTGAATGTGTGTACAGGTGGGGCTGAATCTTCTTATTAAAAGAGCTGAGCATTTCAGTCCAGCTACAAGAATCCTGGTCCAAAGGTTCATCCCATTCCCTGCCGTTGGTATGTGCATGTGTGCAAGAGCATGTTTATGTATGTGTTGATTTTCTGGCATGCACTACTTAATCTGCCCTGTTGTGTTTATGACAGAAATCAAGCATCCTGTCTTGCGGTCTTGCTAAATTGCTGATTATTAAAGCATAAAACGATTGAGTAATGCATGATATTAATTAATGCATGCAGCTCACGTCTTTGCATTTGTAATGACACTCAATTTCTAAATGAGCATTTATTCAGACTTTCATTAAGCCGCAAGCGTTTGTTTATTGTTGTGTATTAACGTGTTATGTTTTGACTGATCCTGTTGTCAGAGGGGGCTGCTGCTGAAATGTTATCTCAGTGTTCCCTTAGCGTTCTGAGGCTCAAACAGGTCCAGAGGGGCTGAGGGAGACTGTCCCACAGTGCCTTGGGGATGCTTGGCTTTAATTAAATTGTTTTCGTCCCCCACCCCTTTAATTAAATCAGCAGGTTCTCCCTCACCTCTCTGGGCTGGGGTAACGGGACCTTGTTAGCTCTCGGCTGCCACTCTCTAATTGGTTAATTAGGCCTAAAGTGCTCTCTGTGTTAGCACTGAGTTCCCTGTTTCCAAGCCACCATGTTGTTGTTGTTGTTGTTGTTTTAGTGTTTAGTTATGAAAGGCAATTAAATGCAGCTAATGAAACGCAGTTGAGACAAAAGTGTATTTTGTGTATTTATGAAATATTTTGGATTAGCATTTATATACATTTTAAGTAAAATTCAAATGTATCTTCTTTTTTTTTAACTCAAAAGGACATCTTGAATTTAGAACCTTTATAAAGATATTTTAAGATGGTTTTTTCCTCTATAGGTGACATAAAGCAGGACCTCCTTCATATACAATTTTGTATGCGTTTGTTTATGTTTCTTTGTTCTCCATTTTTGATTCTGTGTGTGTGTGTGTGTGTGTGTTTAATTGGCCTGGGTCTGAACCCCTCAGAGGTGAATAGCTGTTTACTCAGCCAATTAACTCAGCCCCACAACACTGCAGCACTGAACACTGATAACTCACAACACTAGGCCTGTAAATTAAAAATGCTTCAGGCTCTCTTTATTTCTCTTTCTTTCTCTCGCTCTCACACATACACCCACACCAATCTCACCACATGCCACAGATGATAATGCCAGGAAGTAAATCATTATTCTAATAATTTTTCCGCTTGTAATTCACGTGTGCACTTTGACATGACCATATGAAACTATTTGTTTTATATCCAGTTAACCCCTCTTTGCGCCGACATTCCAGATCAAGAATGTTTTCCAGTGTTGATTGCTTTTATTTTAATATTCACAGGTGGTGACTCTTGACAGATTATTACTATTGTATTGTGTTCGTTCTGTAGTATTTTTATTATATATAACATGGGAGATTGCGGTAAGATGTGTCACCCACCATTTAGCATATTTAGAAGTGATACAAATTTTTTATGTTAAAAACTGTTTCCATGTACAATCATTTTTATGTTAAAAAATGTATATATAATTATGTATGTATGTATGTATGTATGTGTGTATGTATGTATTGATGTGTGTGTGTGAGAGAGAGAGATTGTAATCTGCTTGCAAATACTAACAAGAGTCCAATTCTCGTGATTCTCTCTCACTGGATCCAAATAAGGAAAAGTTGGGCATCAGATGGAATTCTTTTTGTGATCGTCCTGTTTTCTAACTGCAGCTCTCCCTTCATTTAGCAAGTGCCAACGTGTGTAATGTTTTGCTGATGCGCCACACTGAGCTGTCAGAGGGTATCAGCGTACTAGACGACAAAGGCAATGTGGTGGGCACCTCAAAGCTGGCTGCCAGGCATGTGAGTATGGATCCATTTCCACGTGTAAGGTGAAAGGTTACTGTCAGCTTTTGTGCAGTCCTATTGTGAGTTCTGGACTGATAAATGTCTTTTTGTTCAGGCTCTGATGGAGACATCACTGACACGTGTTGTGCTGCCCATGCCTGTTCTCTTGCTGCCACCTTTAATAATGGCCATGCTGGAGAGGTCAGAGGAGTTCTGTGAATTTGACATTTCAGACTTGAGTTATTTTTACAGCACCATCACACAGTTTACCGCAGAAATCACACACCCATATGCACCATCTGTCCTGGTATATTAGTATTTCAGTTAGATGTGATCACAACTTTTTGTATGTGTTTAAAGGAACAGTTCACCCAAAAATGAAAATTATGTCATCACTTACATAACCATAAATTATACCAAATTCTTACAATTTTACTTCTTACATAGACAACAAAAGGAGATATTTGGCTGTCAACTTCAAAATATGGTATATAGTGGTCCATACAGTATGCTATATTCAATGTTTTGAAGTTGTGCAATTTTAACCTGTTATCGCTCCACTGTATGGTCTGTGGTACACTGCATGTTTTCAGCGTTTTAGGCTAATTTTACAGGAATGCTAAGGTGTTAATATGCTTAGAATAAAATGTGGCAGACCATGCCTGGTTATAAAACCCTTAGTTATGAGAATCATAGCTTAAATTTCAGCCTTTTCCTTACAGAAACTACAAAAGACTTAAAATAAAGTCGCATGGACTAAGGTCAACATTGTTCTAAATATGGTACAGTTCAAAAGGGTTAGTCAGATTTTTTTTTTCTTTGAAAGAAATTAATACTTTTATTCAGCAAGGAAGTATTAAATTGATCAAAAGTGGCAGTAAAGACATTGAGACAAAGCATTTGATCATTTCTGAAGGAGTTATGGCTGCTGAAAATTCAGCTATGCAATCACAGGACTAAATGTCATTTTATAATATATTAAAATATATGTATATATTATATCACAATATTACTACTTTTACTGTATTTTTTATCAAATTTTTGATCAGTAGCCTTCATTCAAAAACATTAATTAATCTTACTAACCCCAAAATGTTTGCACGGTTTACTTTTGTGGTTCACTGAGGAAAAGAAATGATACACATTTAATATGATGACAAAATTGATTTAAAATCTGTCTAGCAATCCTATGTGGCATTGGAGTCCAAAAGTCCACCTTAAAACCTGATTTTCTTGCATTTAAGCATTTGTTTTTGAACTTTTCACTCAAATTATGCTGATAATATAATTCCTTTTATATCAAATTATAAAATGCAAAATGCACATTTCTGTTGATCGACTCTTCACCAGAATTCAATGGGTTTTATGACTGATAGACTATGTCGCAACCTCCTCAAATTCTTCCTGCTCTGATTCGCAGGTGTGTGTGCGGCTGTGTGCGTGTGTGTAGGTGTGTCTGTGTGTGAGCGGCAGTAAATGGTGAGTTGTCCTCTGCTATGCTGCCTGTCAGCTCACCCTCACTGGCTCTCAATGGAGCAAGAACAGGGCTGCAGGAGGGTCACTGCTTTGAGGGTGGGGCTGAGGGCCAGGGCTATCCTTGATTAATTAGAGCGCTGAGAGGAGTCTGTGTGATATATGTGTGGTGCTTAAACCTTTCAACTATCACTCTAGCTGTGTCCGAAAACGAAGACAGCTGCTTTGCTAAACAGTCAGTGTTGGTGTTTTTGCATTAAAGTAGGAAAAATGGTTTCAGTCTGGCTTGCAAGACACAACAGTGTCACATGAAATGATCTAGAGGAAATTTTAAATACATGTAATTTAAAAAAATGAATTTAAATTTAAGCTTTAGACATAACCAAGCAAATAAATGTAACTACGGTGCTTATTTGCCAATAGAAATTTTACAAAATAAAAAATTGACATTTATGAACTTAATTGCTTCTTTCAGATGTTATTCTTATAGGGATTAACTGCCAATAAGTCTTGTAGTGATTTGTACTGCATCAAGATTTTTAAAATTTATTTTTTTGGAATATAACATTTTTTAAACACTTTACTTGAAGTATTTATATATAGTGCATTATAAAAGTATTTTAATGCATTAATTATGACTTCCAATGTACCTTAAGATGCATTGTATGATCTCATGAATAATTGTAAATATAATATTATAATACATTATAATACTTATTAATTCATTGTTGCATCTGTAGAAATTTTAATGCATTAAAGTACATGACAAACTACCAATTTCAGATGTAACAAGGAATCTGCAAATATTATAATGCATTTGAACTTATAATTAATTATCAAAATATATAATGAATTACAATATGAATACCTTTAAAATGCATTATACATACAGGCTTCAAGTAAAGTGTTACCATAAATTATTTGATTAATTCTATTTTTACATTTAGATTACCTTTGCCATCTAATGCCCCCTTAAGGTTAATCTTCATAAACACTAATAATTTAATAACACTCTTAAATGTAATCTTTAGCAAATCTCAAGATGAATATCTTTTTTTTTTGTAAGCTAAATGTATTTGTAGCGTTTTAAATGGATTTGAGTTTTTAGTGTTTATTTAATTTTTTTATAGAATTGTAATATCTGGCATTTACTGGTTATTGGTCGTAACATGAACATAAATATTGTGCATCCCTATAATATGATACGTTTCATTTAAAGGCAGCACTGTTGTTTACTATATATGTCACTTCAGTTCAGCTTTGACCTCTTCACGGGAGAGTGACGGATGAGTGTGGTGATTTATTTAGAGCAGTTGATGGACACGATAAAAGCTCTTTAACATACTTTGATCCTTTCCCCTGTTCCCCTTTTTCCCCCCAAACATACACACACAGAGAGAGAGAGAGAGATTCTGGTAGCCAATTAAAGCTCATCATGCGTATGTGTTGATGAAGTCATCATTAGGCAGTCGCTGCCTTCATTAAAGCAGGACTGCTCTGGAGGACTCCTGCAGAGCACGCTGTCCCACAACCCCCCACACGCACTGAGGCCAGGGAGGGAGGGGAGGTGTCAGAGAGCAATCACATACAGCAGTTTGAAAGTGTCAGCGAGTGCCTTTAATAACAAAAATGGCAGGAATGCTCCCGGTTTTGGTGCTTTCTGCCAATAATGCACCAATAATGTATTTTGTGGGTGTTTATACGTTAGGCTCCCTCTGCTGCAGAAGCACTCTCATCTCGGGCTGCCTGTTCACAGCATGGTGTGTCTCTGCGCGTTCGGCCTAGCGCTGCCTGTTGCCATCAGCCTGTTCCCCCAAAACAGTCAGGTGAGCACTCGCACACGCCTCCCTCCATCCTCTCGCACTCTCCCTCTCACTTTCTCTCTGTCCCTTCTCTTTGTCTGCCGTGAAGACGGTTATGGTTTAAAATGGTGTTTATTAAGCTGTTCATCCATATGGTTACTGAACTGCAGACATATGTGCTGCCAACTACTTCTATTCCTCTCCCACCCCTCCCCTCCTCCTCTCCTCTCACTCTCTCGCTCCCTCTTTACACTTTTCCAAGGGTTCCAGACGAACGCTCCCTAAAAACTCCACTCCTGTCCCCCCCCCCCACCTTTTCACACCCCACAGGATGTCTGTTTCAGATTCTGCCTCACACACTCACACACTCATTGCCATCTGTTTCTGAGCAAAATATTGCAAGTTTTGGCCCTGGTTTGGATATTTACCAGTGCGCGCTGCTTCATTTGAGCTTTTTATGATGGCTGAAGTGTCAGTTTTGACTGTGAAAAATGCTTGAGGCTGGAAAGACATGGCACACTTTTAATTCTCATCTGATGAAACATTTTAAACATCTTAATGACTTAATGATTGCTGTGAATGGTTATCTCGCTGTAGCCAAAAGATCTGAATCTTAATGTTAGTAGAAAAATAAAAACATTCCGTAAGCAAAACAGCGGAATCATATGCGATGAAATTTTATCTTACAATCTTTTCCTGGCACTTCTATTACCACCAAGGGTAAATTAAATGAGCCTAATCATTAGAGGTAATAAAGTTATTAGCGTGTATTTGCCTCTTGTGATATTTTGACCGCACCTGCTTTCTGTTTCTCAGATCCACGTGTCAGAGCTAGAGCCAGAGATCGCTGCTGCAACAGAGTGCAAGATCCTGACCTACAACAAGGGTCTTTAACCAGTCAAAATGCATTCCTGCTGTGTGTGAATGTGAATCCTCTCTCAGCCACACACAGAGACAGACTCACACCAGCGCTAATCATCCTCTTTCCATGTACTTGAATGTGGAAGTTGCAAATAGAGGATTTCAGGATATTTACAGCAGTGAAAACAAGTGTTCTTTTGACATACTTTAAATTTACATAATTATCAGCCTTCCCATTCAAACAGTTTTGTATTAAATGACTACAAATCACAGAAAAATAAATGTTTACAAAGTAATTGTTTTAAAACAATAAATAAACCATCAGTTTTGATATTTGGAACAATTGTAATTGATTTTTGCCTTTGTGTTATTTTCTTAAAATGCCGTTACAAACCCCAAATCATGCTCAAATTGAATAGGAATTAAAAAATTATAATAATTAATTACCAGTAATTCCCATATGGAAAAGATGTAAAGCTTATATATTCTATGTAAGTTATGATCTATATTACTTAATAAACCTTATTTGTTACATTTCTGTAGAACTGTCATTATCATTATACACATTTTATTATGTATTATTATTTTATATGCATTCACTGTAATCTGAAGTGTGTGTATACACAAACATTATTCTATAATTGTTTAGGTCAGTACTAACTCAAAGACTCGATTTTATCTACAATGATCTCGATTTTATCCCCCCCCCCCCCCCCCCACACACATTTTTTGACATTGGTTTCCTTTTTATTTGCACATTGCAGAAAGCAAACACTCAAATGTACAATAAAATCAAATGCTTTTTGATTGGTTCAAGAAAATACACAGAAATCCTTTAAAACCTTGTTATCATAGTTAATGAATGGAAACAATGTACACATTTGTGCAATTCCTGCTTTCTTCTTTTTTTCCATCCATTAGTTCTGTTGTTTTTAGATGATTGTATCTCTGCTTTTATTTGATGTTTTTGAGTTCCTTTGTCTGGGCTGTAAAATGATTCCTGTAAACTTCTATTTTATCGTTAGATCCATCGCTAGAATGAGGGAATGGACCTGTGTGTTTTTCTATCTGGTTGTCACGGGAACAGATCACAGTGGGCAGTAGTGAGGAGAAATATGACATGAAGCCGCATGTAGAATCATTAACCGTGCAGGACTGCCATACACAGTTGCACAACATGCACATGACTGCATTAATGAGGGTAAGATTAGTGCTTATACCTTCCTTTTGTAAGCTTTTGCTTTAATTTCAAAATCAAGAGAAAAATAGTTTTTAATTATTTAATTTATATGAGAATGAGAGTTCCTGTGAGCACAAAACTATCCTATAAATGCAAAACAATTGGACAGTATGGACTAAAATCAGGTCTATGAAACTGATCTGTCCTGTGACAGACGGGTCTGGCTTAACTATTCTCATATTCAGAGAAAACATACATTTTAAATAAAAATGTTATTGAAAATACTTTCATTGATCCAGTGTTGGTGTAATTACTTGTAGTACATGCACTGCTCACTGTAATACACTTGTAATGGCAGTCATCTATTCAGTAATTTGTAATAAGATCAATGTTTCCACTGCAACTGATTCAGTATGCAACAAAAAAAAAATGCTGATGGCTTGATATAATAAGTTTGTTAACCCAAAAGTCATTGAGGTACCTTTCAAAACAAGCAGCAAAGTATGTTCCACTAGAGCGCCACTCTACATCAACAAGCTTCTGTTTACCATAGGTTCTCCATTTACACCATTTACACCATTACATGCTTAAAGCAGTTCACACTGCAAAATAAATTGCGGTTAAAAAAAACCTGCAGATGTGGTTGCGAGAATTTTATCATGAAAAATTTGGTAGCAGCAAGTTTTATTGATTGAACTTAAATTTACAGTAAAAAAAATGTACATTTAACTGAAATAATGTTAATGTACCAAATTACTCAAATCTGTTTACCTTTACAATATACTGACAAATATCTTAAAAACGGGAGATTTTTAGCCACATAATGAATCAAAGTTCATCACAAGTAGCTTTTCCATAAGCTAAGGTAAATATTAATGTATATAAAGATGCACACCATAATGGTAACCCATGACAATAAAATAACACACATAATAATTTAACAGCATAAGATATAACATAAAACCCTAATGTACATAAATGATAAGAAAAAACAGTTCATGAAAACCTATAATTGTGAAATGTCACAGAGAACTCTATATTTTTTTCACTGTAAGTTATGAGATGACTTGTTCTTTTTCACTTCCAAAAACTGCATTTAACCATATTTTACTGTAAAATTAAATCAAGTCTCCCATTAGCTCATATATAGTAAAGGTACTTGCCATTAACCAATTAACATGTTTTTAATGTGTCACCTACTGTATTTAGTCTTTTATCATTAAAGTTATGATCATTTTCACTAAGACTGTGCAGCTACAGTTTGTACAGTCGCACAATAAGAAATGCGGATTTGCAAAGCTCTTACTCTTTCACATGCATTAACAAACGCCCATCTATTTCTCAATCTCTTTCCTTTCTCAAAGAGGAAAGAGTGCTCTTAGGGAATGCATGGAATGTGTGATGTAAAGCTACAGAGGATGTGATGTGTGCACCTGCACACAGGATTGGATATCTGATGGCCTCAAAACAAACAAAACAATCTTTTTCGCTCTCTGTCTCAATACGCTCTTGTCGTTCTTGACAGTGATACTCAGGTGTCATCAGTCTGTGCATTTCACTCTCACAACCCTTGCTCACACGGCAAGCTCAGGGTCAAATGTTGAGGTGAAAGGTCACCTGCGGGTTCGTTTAACACAATCTTCCTGGGTTTCTTTTGACAGGAAGTTAGCATGGTGAGATGAGAGGAAAATTGCCGGCAGGCATTATCCTCTTGTCTGTGTGTGTGTGTGTGTGTGCAAACATTTTAAAAGGGTAAATTCTTTTTCGTAGGTTAAAAAAAGTTACTGACGTTTTTGTGATATCTTTTTTTGGGAACAATTAGGTGTGAACTGCTTGCTCTGAAACATCTTTATTAATTATGGACATTTTTGATCATGTTTTGCTTGAAAATGAGATGAAGGAACACTATAAAGAAGCTAATGTGTAAATTGGCAAACATTCGCTTTAGTTTATGACTCAAGGAGCTGTTACAGAGAAACCAGCATACATCAGCCTGTATTTACCAGTCAGCCCACTGAATGACATCATGCAAATCACTCACACACACACACACACACACACACACACACACACTCATCCTGTTACACTCGAACACTCTTTAACACCAATTCCTACACTCCTTTAGATACGAAACATCTTTATTAATTATGGACATTTTTGATCATGTTTTGCTTGAAAATGAGATGAAGGAACACTATAAAGAAGCTAATGTGTAAATTGGCAAACATTCGCTTTAGTTTATGACTCAAGGAGCTGTTACAGAGAAACCAGCATACATCAGCCTGTATTTACCAGTCAGCCCACTGAATGACATCATGCAAATCACTCACACACACACACACACACACACACACACACACACTCATCCTGTTACACTCGAACACTCTTTAACACCAATTCCTACACTCCTTTAGATACAGAGACCATTATTTACAGACACATACACTCTTGCCTCTATGCTGTGGGTACAGGATGGCTCATGTTAAAACTGGCTGGTAAACTGATTCCTCACATCACTTAACTTATTTCAATCTAGCTATAATTACCAAAAGCTGCCACCAATTTCATCAGCATGTCTTAAAGCATTTGGAACTTCTTTTTTTGATGAATTTAGCATGTTAGGCAACATCATGTTGAAATTAATAAAAATGTCCATTTTAGTAACCGACTATACAAAGAAACAACAAAATAATCAGAATTAAAAATATTGACTTGTGAAGATTCACTTCATTGTTAGTTTTAAATACAATTTCTTCCAAAAAATAAAAGAAAAAAAGAGCGAGAGAAAGACATAGTCATATATAAGATGATTTCTTCTTAAAGGTGATGCATGTCTCAAACATTGGATAATTCCAGCAGAGGTATGTTAAACAACTATAGTGTTCAGTCCTGGGTGTAGATTCCTTGCTGACCTGTTTAATTCATCCTTAATTCACAATATATTGACTTGTGAAGATTCACTTCATTGTTAGTTTTAAATACAATTTCTTCCAAAAAAGAAAAGAAAAAAAGAGCGAGAGAAAGACATAGTCGTATATAAGATGATTTCTTCTTAAAGGTGATGCATGTCTCAAACATTGGATAATTCCAGCAGAGGTATGTTAAACAACTATAGTGTTCAGTCCTGGGTGTAGATTCCTTGCTGACCTGTTTAATTCATCCTTAATTCACAATCACCACACTCACATGGGCAGGTTCTCTGCAGTTAGGTTTAGAATATCATGACTAATAACATTAAATAAATAGTGCTTTTCTTGGTCTTGTGTGTTCATTTGGGTAGTGTTTAGGTTGGTCTTAGGCATCAGACATGACATCTATGTCCTCAGATCCGGTCTGTTTGGTGGCAATTCTCCAGCGGTTAGTGTGGTGGTTTCCCTTCTTCTTCTGTGTGCACTCCGGGCCCTCTTCCTCCAGCTTCTGTCGCTTATACTTGGTCCTGCGGTTCTGGAACCACACTTTCACCTGAGGGGAGCAGAAGACCAGGACATTGGTGAGTAGGCTATACATAACTATGTTGACAGTTTAGCCTGTCAAGACAGATTGTGACTGATGCCTAGAAACACAGTTCAAACGCATTTGTGTTCTAATGAACCATTTTAACGCCACAGATGGCACGCGGTCCATACAAGACATTCAGTTGACTCTGTTTTTTTTTTTTGTCCATTTTTAATTTGTTTTAGAACTTTGTTGCATAACAGAAGAAATCCAAACAAACACGAATAAGTTATACATTTTAAAGTAATTCATTTATTAATTAAAAGATGAATTAAAAAAAAAATTTGTTCTAGTTTTTTTTTCTTTTCTTTTCAATAACGGTTTACATTTCACACATTTCAAAAGAGCAGTCTATGCATATCGCCATAAATAGTCGCATTTAGGGGAACCAAGGACCCCTAACAACAACCCCGCAGAAGTGGAAGAAGAAAAAACGATGATTTACCGATATTTTTTATTTGATTTATTTCTGAAGCGGTCTCCTGCGCGCTTCGCTGAACAAATCCACGAGATGCTGACTGAATCCTGAATCACTTTCCACAAAACATAAGCGTAGAAATGAATTAGGCTAATTAAAAAAAAAAAAAAAAAAAAAACACACACACACAAATGGCCTATGGTTATGTATTGGCCAATATTTTTACAAAATTATCTTTCTCTTGCGATAGCTGCTATAAAGCGATGTTAATCCTATTATTATTTTAGATTAGGTATTTTATAGATTATAAGATTTTGTAAGATTTTACAAATTAAGTGTGCTATGTTGCGATATCCTACTATATCAAATCATGTTACTTGACGCTTATTTAGCCAAAACGGCATAATTTGGAGGAACACTGAGGAAAACTCACTTTGCCAGGGTTTGAATGACATGTAAACACAAATGAACAAGACAATTAAAAATAAAACGTTTTCAAACTGAGCTTTACATCGTTTGATCAGGGTGAATGGGTTTATTCTGATTTATCTGAGCAAAGCAAGCAGGCTAGAACTCATTCCTGGCCTAAAATAAAATGATATCACAGAGCGCAGTTAACAAGTGACACATGGCCAGCCATCGTCCTTTCAGACTCGGATTTATTCTGCTATTGGCCCGTTTCTGGATTTAGCAAGCAGCCCAAGTGTTGTTTACATGATCATGTAGGCCAACACATTGTCAGTACAACATTAATCATTCAAAATAAAAAATGTCTCATTATAGTCGTCAGTTTCCTACAATTTCATATCAAACATTTAATCATAACTTTAAAAAAAATAGGCCTATTTAGCCTATTATTATTATTATTATATGTGTTTTATTTATTTAATAGCCTACTTAAATTTCTTGGTTTCACAGGAATTATTTTAACTAGTTAAAGACTTTTTTTCTGTTATAGGCTATTTTGTGAAACTCTTAATTCGACTGGGCACTTTCTCTACTGCAAGCGAAACAGTAGCTACTGCTACTAAAGACCGATTTACTTTTGTGCCTTTAAAAAGATTAGCTATAAAGAGATTTTTCGATGTGCATGGGAAAACGGATTTTTTTGCTGTGTTATAGCACGAGTTTGCTAATGTTTACCTGAGTCTCAGAGAGACTGAGGCTGTTAGCGAGCTGTTTCCGTTCGGCTCCGACCACATAATGGTTCTTGTCGAAGGCCCGCTCCAGGCGCAGCAGCTGAGAGGGCGAGAACGCGGTGCGGATCCGCTTGGGCTTCCTCGCGAAAGGTCCGTGTAGTAGCAGCGTGTCCTGCGAGACGTCGTTCCCTGAAATAATCATAATAATCAATACAAGGCAACTTGATTAGTTTTTACAGTAGGCGGGACAGAAGAAAACGGAAGAAAACTGTAGCCTAGGCATCATTTGAAAGCTCTTTTCGATTAGCCTATATATACATTTCAACAAATGTGAACGCCAACTATCGACTTTAAAGTAGGCTATCGAAAATGTACCCTGATTTTATGACTATTTTAATTTATATGTTGAAATAGTTTTATAACTATATTTGATGCTTTCTAATTGTAGAATATTTTAGAATAAACATAAACGGTATGCCACTCCAGCTTGATATGGGCGCTTTTGGAGTTATCCTATATCTACACCCGTCTGAACTTGATAAGTAATTCTGTAAAAAAAAAAAAAAGTCTTAATGTTTGACTTTATGACTGAATAATATTTTAGGGATGTATTTACAACTCACTGAAAAATGATGAAAACAATTAACAAAGTTTCTACAATATTTCTATATGACTCTTCCATGGAAATTGCAATCAATTGACAAAATATTTTGCTATATTTTATATCGTTGTTTATTTATTTGTCTATAAAATATAAAGTCCAAATAATATAAACATGAATTAAAATCAATAGCCATGCCACATAGTGGCATTTTGTACTTTCTATCATTAATGGCCATGTAATTTGCCTATTAACACCCATTACGCATAACCTTTAACCTGATGACTGACTATAAAACCAAAAATGACAGGGTCCGTCGATTTGAAATGTTCTCAATTACAAAGGTTTACCCAAACAAAATCCGGCATTAATTATTAAGAATGGCCTATACTTTTAATGATTAAGAATGTCCTGTACTACCATCATAAAATTAGACTCTTCTTTAAAGGTCGTTATCACTGTTAGCTAGTTTATTAGCCTTTTTAGCTCATTAATAATATTTGACCTTTATATGAACATTTTTCAGTTCATACGTTTGTTAAGTCTTTCGACAACAGCTTCAACACCAGAAGAGAACAAATCATCCAATGAGCTATGAAAATAAAATTGTGATAATGACGAGGTGTAACGAGTTCATCAGAGCAGATTCGTCGTCTGTCTTTACCTCGACAGTGATTAGAAGTCGATAGTGTGGCAATTATAATATTAGTAGAGTCATTCATTAAGAAGTACCCACACCTATTAAACACAAACCCACAAGTACCCACAAACTATTAAACAATTAAAGGTCATCTTGGAAAAATAGAAGTAATGTAGCCTAATCTTAGGTTATTTACCATTTGAAAATAACTCACAAACGGCATTAAGGCTGAATAAATGTAAACTGCATTTTGCTGTAGGCAACATGAAACTGGTGGAAAGTCTGAATTCAAGATCAAGCAATTACTGTTATCAGAACTGTTCTCCAATCCTGCTATCATAAGCTTATACGAACATAATTTGTACTTTCTATCATTAATGGCCATGTAATTTGCCTATTAACACCCATTACGCATAACCTTTAACCTGATGACTGACTATAAAACCAAAAATGACAGGGTCCGTCGATTTGAAATGTTCTCAATTACAAAGGTTTACCCAAACAAAATCCGGCATTAATTATTAAGAATGGCCTATACTTTTAATGACTAAGAATGTCCTGTACTACCATCATAAAATTAGACTCTTCTTTAAAGGTCGTTATCACTGTTAGCTAGTTTATTAGCCTTTTTAGCTCATTAATAATATTTGACCTTTATATGAGCATTTTTCAGTTCATACGTTTGTTAAGTCTTTCGACAACAGCTTCAACACCAGAAGAGAACAAATAATCCAATGAGCTATGAAAATAAAATTGTGATAATGACGAGGTGTAACGAGTTCATCAGAGCAGATTCGTCGTCTGTCTTTACCTCGACAGTGATTAGAAGTCGATAGTGTGGCAATTATAATATTAGTAGAGTCATTCATTAAGAAGTACCCACACCTATTAAACACAAACCCACAAGTACCCACAAACTATTAAACAATTAAAGGTCATCTTGGAAAAATAGAAGTAATGTAGCCTAATCTTAGGTTATTTACCATTTGAAAATAACTCACAAACGGCATTAAGGCTGAATAAATGTAAACTGCATTTTGCTGTAGGCAACATGAAACTGGTGGAAAGTCTGAATTCAAGATCAAGCAATTACTGTTATCAGAACTGTTCTCCAATCCTGCTATCATAAGCTTATACGAACATAATGCATTCATTTTGGGAGGTATGACATTGTGCTTTTGTGCGTGGACAGCCCAGTCTAAATCTGTGTCCCGCTTCAAGTATCGCCTCAGGGCATCATTTGTGGTTTTCATTTCAACACGAACGCCAGCTATCCCGCTGCACAGTGCTGGTAAGTGACCTGTAGCCGCAAGCGAGCATTTATGGCAATATGTCAGATGAGTTCAGAGACAGACTCCATGCCCTTTAATGCACAGCACGGGCTACTTTTATTGAGCACTCTTGGAAAAGTAACCTACATGTACGTGTAAATATGCATAGGTTATTTTATTCTTTTCATAGGTGAAAAAGTTGTTTAATGCGCGGTGGATGCAATACGAACGCCAGCTATCCCGCTGCACAGTGCTGGTAAGTGACCTGTAGCCGCAAGCGAGCATTTATGGCAATATGTCAGATAAGTTCAGAGACAGACTCCATGCCCTTTAATGCACAGCACGGGCTACTTTTATTGAGCACTCTTGGAAAAGTAACCTACATGTACGTGGAAATATGCATAGGTTATTTTATTCTTTTCATAGGTGAAAAAGTTGTTTAATGCGCGGTGGATGCAACTATTTTATAAGATCGCTTACCTTGAAACCGATGGCCAAAAAACCTGTTCCTTAAGACCCACGGGTAGAAATTGAGTGGTTCACGGTGCTGCGTGCCAAAGAAGTGCGGGTGCTGGAGGTGCGTGCTGCCGAGCTGGTGTGGGTGCATGCTGAGAGGTGCATGGTTCACAGTCTCCGAGAACACCAGTTCGGGGTTTGGATAGAGCGCGCGGCCTGCGGGGCTTTGATACCCGTTAAGAAAACTGTCAGCAGGCGCCGCGTAGCTTAGTGCGGTAGGGCGAATAGGGTCTTCTGGTGTTAAGGGGCTTTCCTTCGCCACCAAAGACTCAATGGTAAAACAACGCTTTCCCGTTGCCGAGAACATTGTCCGTGACGGAACCAGTACAGTCCAGCAGATGAGGTTCACCTTCGCGTCCTTTCACAACTCCCGTAGTGACCTGTCAGCACAGCAGCACTATTTTAGAAAGACATTGTAGAGAAGTCAGATATAAACTAAATATAAAACACCTTAATGTTCCCTACTTTGGCCAATTACTGTGTAATCCATCGATCCATGAGTGTCCATAAACCATGAAAAGAAAAGTGAGAATAAAAGCTCGAGACCCATCGATTTGGATTTGAGGGGCGCCACACAGTGTCGTCTGAGACTTGCACTCATTGGATGAAAGCCCTTGGCGCACAGAGCTCCGGCGGTGGGCGGGTCCTTCGTTCATTTGGGTCAGATAATGAACTCGATTAGTTTGATCATTCACTTCAGTGGGGCTGCCTCCAACAGGTCAGTTGCTACGCTGTAGATAATCAAAAACTATTTACCTTGTCACGCGTCCAGCAGTACGCAAGCCTTCAGGGCGTACCACAATCTGTGCTCTATTCCAGCCTTATATTCGTTAAGACTAAGAGGTTTGCTTTTTTTTTGGGTCAGATAATGAACTCGATTAAACATTTCATTCAAATGTCACGTTTCCTCAGCTTTTCATAAATACAGCGACGACGGGGAGCCCTAGCTACTAACCTAAAATGTTACAGTATTAGTAAAAAAAGTGGATGTTTTTGTTGCTTCGATGGCTTTATTATTTTTTTTGCGACAAAAACAAGAATATTTCCAAGAAAACAAAAATAGCCTAATAGTTTATTTTTATTTTTATTGAGTGAACCCACAAACCAACATCTCTGTCGTATTAAATTTGAAATCTTAATAATGTTAGCATCTACAGAGTTAAGTAGACCAAATGAGTTCTAGTATTTATTTTCATATATATATATATATATATATATATATAAACTTTTTGGATAAAAGCTTTGAAACATCTGAGCATTACACCGACATGAACTTGAATGACATTGCATTCTAAATACATAGACATTAATGTGGAGATGGTCCCCACCCTTCCATCTATAACAACTGGAAAAAGTGAAAAAATAGTTGGAAGCATAGCATTGTCTAAAATGTCTTGCTCTGCTGAGGCATTAATATTTCCCTTCACTTGAAGTAATGAGCCCAACCCTGAAAAACAGCCCCATACCATATCCCTCCTCTACCACACTTCACAGTCGGCACATCAGTGCAGTCAGGCAGGTAATGTTCTACTGGCATCCGCCAAACCCAGACTCGCCCATCAGACTGCCAAACGGAGAAGCGTAACTCCACAGGTTTCCACTGCTCCAGAGTCCAGTGGCTGCATGCCTTACAGAACTCCATCTGATGCTAGACATTGTACATTGTCATGTGAGACTTGCATGCAGTTTCTCGGCCATGAAAACCCATTCCATGAAGCTCCTGTCGCACAGTTTTTGTGCTGATATTAAAGCCAATGGAAGTTGAGACCTCTTCAGCTATGGAATCAGAAAAGGCATTGGCATCTTTTACACACCAGCCGCCTCAGCGCTCATTGACTCTGCTCTGTGACTCTTCGTGGCTGAGTTGCTGCTGTTCTTCTCCAATAATACCACTTACAGTTGACTATGAAATATCTAACAGGGATGAAATTTCACTAGACTTATCCTATCACATCACTCAGCTATTCACAATGATAATTTTCTTTTCACAAATGTTTGTAAATGCAGACTGCATGGCTATAGGTGTTTGATTTTATAAACCTGTGGCAATGGATCTGATTGAAACACCTGAAATGCACTTATTTAAATAAAAAATAATTGAAACACAAATATGTATTTATTTAAATATATATATTTATTTAAATGTAAATCTATACATTTAATATATACATTTATTAATATATAAATTAATTCAATTTATATGCATATTTTATGTTAATATACACTTTTTTATATTTTAAATACATATACATTTATATTTAAAAAAAATTATAATGTTTATTTATATTTATATTAAATTGTTATGTTTACATTTTTTATTATATTTATATAATATATATTATATAAATACATAATATATAATATATCATAATATTATAATATAATATAATATATATAATTTATATAATATATAAAACGTTTTTATTATATTTATGTAAATAATTTAAATATAAGCAATATATTATTAAAATATGAAGCTATGTTCTGTTAAATTCTCCAATCTCTCAGATTCATTGTATGTTGTCCCCCATATTTGTATAGCAAGGGACCCGGTTTAGACTTCTAGTTTTGACTAACCCCAAAAACATTTTACTGTTAATTTTCTACAAATTTAACAATACTTTCTACATGAGCTTTAGAATCCAGTTTCCCTAATTCATTAAAAATAGCCACGGTTGGGGTTTCTGTTTCCCGCAGCAGTCAGTCTGTCCTGCTGTCCGCTGCTGCCCTCTAGTGGTACAAAATGTGAATTTGCATTAAACCGTTTTGTAGAGGTAGTCAGAAAAAGGATAAATTATGGACATATTAGTGCATAAAGACAAAAACGTTTTGTCTTTTGCCGTTATATTCAGAAGAGCAAATATTGTATGGGAATATTATAATAATATATATTTATAGTTTATTTGAACACCTACACTTGTCAAATGGAATACAGCTCAAATTGGTACTATCAGTAGTTTTCATTCTGCATTGTGAAGTATGCTATTTAATATGTAAGTATAAGTATATAATATATTTACATTTGTATATTTGTACACTACACTCTTAAAAATAAAGGTGCTTCAAAAGGTTCTTCAAGCGATGCCATAGAAGAACCATTTTTGGTTCCACAAAGAACCATTCAGTCAAAGGTTCTTTAAAGAACCATCTCTTTCTTAACTTTTTTGTAATCTGAAGAACCTTCTTTCGCCACAAAGAATCTTTTGTGAAACAGAAAGGTTCTTCAGATGTTAAAGGTTCTTTATGGAACTATTTAGACAAAAAGGTTCTTCTATGGCATCGTGAAGCACCTTTATTTTTAAGAGTGTACCTTTTTATATTTAACTGATGCAGTTAAATATAAAAAGAAGAAACAGAAGAAGAATTGGATAAGCCCACAATGAAAAATGACCAGCTAAGAGAATTTACTCTGATCTAACATGAATTCTGTCATAAAAGAATTGTTTGTGCTATCTCAAAGAGGCACAAAATCACTTTCACAGACTTTTACATTAACTGTTCCCTCCTGGTTGAGTGACATGCCCAACTCAGTCCGAGCAGCTGAGTCCTTAGCCATCTTCAAGAATCGGCTGAAAACACATCTCTTCCATCTTCGTTTGACCCTCTAACTCTTGCACTCTCTATTCTAATTCTAAGAAGATGAAAAAAACACTTGACCCTCTAACATTTGCACTCTCTATTCTATTTCTATTCTTACTACTTGTCTTCTTAAAGAGAGAGAGAGAGAGAGAGAGAGAGAGAGAGAGAGAGCCTCTGACACTAGCATTCTCTATTCTTTTTCTATTCTATCTTCTTGTTTTCTTTTTATTTATTATAAAAAATCACCCTCGATCACTAGCATTTTCTATTCTTTTTCTATTCTTTTGACTTGTTTTATTTTTATTAAAAAAAAGACTCTCTAACACTAGCATTCCCTATTCTTTTTCTATTCTATCTACTTGTTTTTCTTTTTCTTTGTTTAAAAAAAAAAAACTTGCTACGTGTACTGCGTTAGGCTAACCGAGACTTGTCACAGCACTTACATATTATTGCCCTTTTGTTGGTTTTGATTTCTTCTATTGTCCTCATTTGTAAGTCGCTTTGGATAAAAGCGTCTGCTAAATGACTAAATGTAAATGTAAAAGTGTCGTAATGAGACACCATTATTTGCTGTATTTTAACACATACATTAGATTCGAAATGTGATTTTATTGTATAATCTTTACATTTGACAGTTAGAAACATTCATTCCAACAAGAATAAATAAATGAATAAATATATAAATATGTTATAAATTAAACAGATAAATATAAATATCAACCAGATTTTTTTCTTTCTGATGTTTCTGCATTTGATTTATGATAGAGATCCACAATGACGTCGAGGAAGCTTTTAGGAGACTTTTTGTGTGCGAGCCTTTGGTATATCCATTTTCTTTTTTCTTCAGGCTTTAAATCCAGCTTGTGTAGTGAAAAAAAGAAAGAAGTTGATGCCATCATAAAAAATCACCCTCGATCACTAGCATTTTCTATTCTTTTTCTATTCTTTTGACTTGTTTTATTTTTATTAAAAAAAAGACTCTCTAACACTAGCATTCCCTATTCTTTTTCTATTCTATCTACTTGTTTTTCTTTTTCTTTGTTTAAAAAAAAAAAACTTGCTACGTGTACTGCGTTAGGCTAACCGAGACTTGTCACAGCACTTACATATTATTGCCCTTTTGTTGGTTTTGATTTCTTCTATTGTCCTCATTTGTAAGTCGCTTTGGATAAAAGCGTCTGCTAAATGACTAAATGTAAATGTAAAAGTGTCGTAATGAGACACCATTATTTGCTGTATTTTAACACATACATTAGATTCGAAATGTGATTTTATTGTATAATCTTTACATTTGACAGTTAGAAACATTCATTCTAACAAGAATAAATAAATGAATAAATATATAAATATGTTATAAATTAAACAGATAAATATAAATATCAACCAGATTTTTTTCTTTCTGATGTTTCTGCATTTGATTTATGATAGAGATCCACAATGACGTCGAGGAAGCTTTTAGGAGACTTTTTGTGTGCGAGCCTTTGGTATATCCATTTTCTTTTTTCTTCAGGCTTTAAATCCAGCTTGTGTAGTGAAAAAAAGAAAGAAGTTGATGCCATCAAATGAGTGAAACACAAAACACAGTCATTCTAATATTGCTCAACTTAAGAATTATTCATTTTATTTACCACGTGAACTGATGCGACATAAGTGACCTTTCTCCTTTAAGAATTATTTCCTGTAAGGCAAACTTACCTTGAGTCTCTTGATGATTTTTGCAGTTTTGCT